ATCGACTACGGTTATTATCGGATCTTTTTACGAGTAAAACATCTGTCGCGCATTGGCTAATTTGAGAGAAATTACGAAATCCATTGATTACCTGTAGGTATGTATTAAAGTTTTAATCCAACGTATTAATTAATTGATTCACGCTAAATACGACATTTTATAATAATTTATTTAAAATCTTCGTAGTGGATAATTGATTGGGCCCTAGTTTACGATTACGTGTACTCGTATCTTTACCGAGAGAAATGTTGTTCAAATCCTATGACAAATCCGGTGAAAAAATGCTTGCCATTTTTAATCCATAAATCAATACTTTCGTTCCATTATCCTGTATTCGTTATCGTATTAATGACGATGCTCATTTTTTTTTTTTTTTTTTTTTTTTTTTTTTTTTTTTTTTTTTTTTTATTTCTTTTTCTTCTTTTTTTTTTGCCTTTATCGATCTATTTGAAGTGCACATTAATGCTTAGGGAAATGATTATTGAGAGAAGTCATTCGCACGTTTCGGAAGTACATTTCGTAGAATTTTTGTAATAGCATCATGTTCATGAAATTGTTTGTATAAACTATTAAAAGATGCAAATTATTATTTTCATTCGAAGAAATTATTAATCGTATAATTATTGCCGTACTAGCTACATGTCAACTGAGAAGTTTGTTAGTCGATAATGTTAGAGTAATAGGTTATCGAATGAATTTCAGGTTAATTTCTCGAATTCATTAGTAATTAGCGTAACAAAATTAGAATTCGCAGTGAACGATGATACGCTGACGTCAGCGATCATCGATTTTTCCATGCCCGTGGCTACTTTGTCTTACATTTTTATGCGTAGGCCACACTACGTAAAGAGTTCGAACCAACACTTTCTAACGGAACTGTTCGCAGACTTGTATAAATGGAAGGATGTTTTCCTTCTCGTGTGAAATGGCAAGACACACGGGGACGTTCTAGCTTGCTGACTTTTTTTTCTTTCGTACCTTTCGCTTCATTTTTTTCTCGAGACTGAAAATAGAAAGCGATTCATCTCCCTTTTGTCCTCGCTTTATTTAAGCATCGCCTCTACTTTTTTTCTTCTTTTTTTTTTTGTTTTTTTTTTTGATTTTTTTTTTTTGTTTTGTTTTGTTTTGTTTTGTTTTGTTTTGTATATTCTTCTTAATCTTGACCTAATAGCGTGTCGCGCTAATCGTCGATAATTACTTTACGTTCAAAATTATATTATATACTCAGTGCTCGGGCATTCTCGAATACGTAGCGGCGCTCCTCTCAAATTCTATCTCGTCTTTTTACAATGGATGAGTGCATCTATTTCACAATTATCGATCGATTCATCGCACATTTTTTTTTCAGTAAATTCATACTTTAGAAAGCCAAGTGAATTTCGAGTTGCCTTTCTCTCTCTATCTCTCTCTCTCTCTCTCTCTCTCACTCACTCTCTCTCTCTCTCTATCTCTCTCTCTATCTATCTCTCTCTCTCTCTTATAATTTAAGTATAGCGAGGCTTAAGAGTACTCGAGAGTAAGAGCGCGTAAGCCACATACGGTTTCTCGCATGCATATTATTACTCCAACTGAAGATTAAGTA